AATTTTCTCATTAAAACATAAGCATAATTTAGCATCTTTAATGTAACATAATTTTAACTGGCAAATCTTACACATCAGAGAATTATTCTTTTTATTTTGTTTATATGATGACTCATATAACTAAAAGTTCTATTTACAATATAAATATAAGTACAATTTTATTATTTCACCAAAGTATCTGTAAACTATTTTGAATGTCAAATTAAAGAAAGTGTATTCTATTTTTTCATTGCTGTATATAATGCCTAAAATGTTGACGTAGAAATATGGTATGAGGCAATATGTTAAAGTAATTTTAAAACTTCAAAATTATTGCTTCAATGCTTATTGAGATGTTAATTTTTATTTGCTTAAACAATCTGATCCCACATGGTACAGAATCTAAATAATTTCACAAGCCGGAATAGGATAAACCAGAAAAAACTATATTCTGTTTGAATCATTCAAAATGGTTTTTTAAACAAAGTCACTGAGTATAAAGTAGATGAGTAAATTGGAAAAGACACAGGCCATAATAAATAAGTCACAATTGTTGAAGCTTCTGTCTCTCCATTTATAACAGTAAATTGTAAAGTTACTATAGAACTAACTGGCCACAGATAATTGACAAAAGACAATTATCTGAAAGGAAAGAAAAGAAAGGCAAAAGGATTCTGTACAAAAGCACTCAAGGGAACGATCTTATTTTAAACAAAGCTCCCTGCCTTTCTAGAATCTGCCTCTTGGCAGTGTATGAAAAATAATGACATTAGTGTTTTTCTCTGTCCTCGGATCTGTCAAAACTTTATATTCTATTGTTCTTTCCAATTAAAAAATACCAAATTTCCAAGAATGGCTAAATTCTGCCTTTTTAAAAAAAAATCTTCCAATGCTTTTTTAAAAAGTATCACTGACAATGTAACACTTTATTATTTTTTATTGTTAGCCTAAGTCACCTCACAATCATAACTGTATTGCCATTTCATGAAATAGGCTTTTGGAAACCTCGTTTTAGCAAAAACTAGACATATACCAATGATTCTTACCTATAAAGCTGCTACACTAGTTACCCCCCTGCTTTTTTTTTTTAAAAGCCTCATTCAATCTGACCTCTTTTAATGAATATTCCTTATAAGTGAATAAAACTTTGATTTCACTTGATAGTAAGTACTTAATCCTCATTATTGAGACAGTGCTGAAACCTTGAATACTTGTCAAAGATTCATTGTATAATCCTGGGATTGGTGTGGCATTCAGTGATTTAAGCTTACAATAATTGATTCATTCCATACTTAAAACCCACTGATCTTGTTACAATTATGGGAGACATTTTAGCTGTTGCAATTTAGACTTACATCAAGAAAGAAAGAAAGAAAGAAAGAAAGAAAGAAAGAAAGAAAGAAAGGAGAAATAGAGAGAGAAAGAAAGAAGAAATAGAGAGAGAAAGAGAGAAGGAAGGAAGGAAGGAAGGAAGGAAGGAAGGAAGGAAGGAAGGAAGGAAGGAAGGAAGGAAGGAAGGAAGAGGCTCCCCTACCCTCTTTGTATTCTGCAATACATGAATGAATTAGGTCATATCATGCATCAAAATAAAATCTTGGTTCTGGCCTTTCTGCACTCCAGAGGTTGCCCTGGAAATAGAAAATAATGAAACATATTTCATTTGCTCAATGTTTGCAGAATGAAGAGTGACAATATTAGCAACTAGATTATCTCTATGAACCAATTTCCCTCCTAATAATTTTATGATGTTGGAATGACCAAAACGATTTTGAGCTGTAAATTCTAACATTTAAGTCAGTGTCTATAGAAATGAAATGCAGCAACTTGGTGAATATCATGGACAGGCTGGCATATCTTTAAAGATACATTCCATATGCTCAGATATGAAAACAAATGTAAAAATTTTTTAGAGCCAATTGATTATCTCAACTATATATCAAAACACATTTTGTTTGGGGAGACTTTGATAAAAATGAAGTAAGCCCTAAAGGCACAGAGAGTTCTTTAAAATCTTAATATTTTGAATACTGAAGAAGACTGTCGAATTGGTAAAGGAAGTACTAGTTTTGAAAGACACACTGAAGTAGCACTTGTTTTTCATAAATAATTTAAATACTATCAAATAAAATTTGTTCCTTTTGTAGAACTTTCATTACTGTTGCAAAGATTTAAAAAATAATTATGGCTTAATATATTGTAGCTTTGTCCAAGCAGAAAACATGCTTTATAAAGATAAAGGTACAGGAAGCATCCCTTTTTCCAGGAAACATTTTCAAGGCATTTATGAAGACTCCATAAAAACAAATAGAACAAAAATTAGGTTGAGTATTCTTAAAGCTCATTGCTTTCAAAACTCTTTCTGCTAATAAAATCATTCCTGTGAATTACCACTCCTAGCTTTGGGAGGACATTTCTCTGGTGGGTGGTGGGAAAAAAGAAACTGAGTTTTTCCTGCCAATTCTGAATAGACTTGATTTGGCTGATGGGATTCTGGAGCTCCCAACCCTAATATCTTCAGGTACAGGGAAATCTAATTCATTAACTTCTCCAAATGCTGTAAAAGTTTCTTTTCAACTGAGACCATTTTGACCTTCTGTATCCAAACCATTCTAGAGTTCAGAAGTACAAATGACAATAATTGATTCCCAAGAGTTAATAACCCAGAAGTCCACTTTATATGACTGAACATGTAAAAAGCAAATTACCTTTACACAAAATATCTATAATTTAAATGAACAGTTAGGCACACAATACCATGAAGATAAGTAGGTCAGTATGATATCTTCTTAAATGTTTTGATCTTAAAAATGTAAGACAAAAATATTTTCTAAAATTTTGTTTACATAGAAAGCATTTGATATATCTTCAGGGAATTTACTTGCTTTCCTTCTTCCATTAATATGTTTAAATTAAAACCAAAGTCAGCTTCTAATAAACAGCTAATTTTAGCACAAAGTACAGTTAGTTTTCTTCAAATATATTTCAAAATTATGGAGAAATAAGTTTTTTTCAAATCTGTAAGTGCCTACATAAAATGGATTAAATTGGAATATAGTTTTTCTGAATCATCCCTTATAATTGGAACATAAGTATAAAATTCATTCTAAAGAAGTCAATGAAGTTCCCTGATAAACTTATTAATAATTTTTAGTGATTAGCCCAAACTATTTTAAATCATTTTTATGCACTATGAAGTAAGATTGTTTCAGTTCATTGGTCACTAGAAACCAAGTAATATAATACTCAGTGTTAATAGAAGCAAAGGAGATGTTTGTAGTTTCTAGTTATAATTTTTCTGAGTTTGGAGGAGAGAGTGAGCACTTTTTTCCTTCCAATAACCTATTGTTTTAGGCATTATTGAATATTTTTAACTTTGATTTCACATTACTTTCTTGTTTCATATAGCTATATCATTTCTAATGGGGGGAGGGAAACATATGTTGGAATTCTTTTGCACTTTTAAAACAGAATTATTGAATCTAAATATTGCTGTTACTCTTACTAGTTTTCTAGAATTACATTAAAGTGAGAAAAATCAATACATTTCAACACTTCAGTATTTTAAGTAAAGGAATTATTTAGAAAATCAAAAATGAAGAATAATATTAGTAAGAATAATAATCAGCTACAGATATTGGGTTAGATTTATTGACTAGATTTTCTAAGCCCTAATATATTTGATATTTTATATGACATTGTCATTAAGCAAATGTACAATATACTAGCCAAGTAGGCATTTCAAACTGCACTACTACTTTGTCTCTAGAAAAATACACAAAAATATTTAAAAGTCTACATGGAAAGATTTGTAGACTTTTTAAAATGAGCTTATTGCCTATTTTTCTTTTCACTTTTTAGTTTCAATAAAAGCATCTATTTAAGGACTCTTGCTTCTGTTACAGAAAAGACTTTTCCTTTTCCAGAACATCTCATACCTTGGAATCACAGTTCACTTCTATAATTACAACCATTAATAAACATTTGTGTAGCAATGATACCTCAGAGCAGTACCTAAAGTAAATACGTGTTTTACAAATTCTAGATGATGTTTTCACTTCACAGTACATTTCCTCCTTCCAGTCAGTTATATTTCTGCCACTCCCCTTATTTATTTTCTTAATCATTTCTTCCTAAAGCTGTTCAAGATCCAAAATGGTTAGGATGATAAACACGAGATGAGCAAACATCTTCCACAGCCAGCTCATATGAAAATTGATTTCTCTGGAATGCTTTTTCATTTCACTGTTTTTCTCACAGTTGCTCCAGCTATGGGGCAGTCACAGAACTCTGCTCTGTCAATTAGCTGTTCATTTCACCACCACCACCACCACCCTCCATCAAACCTGATGTCTTTTGAATCTCCCTAAATCTCATTCTGCAGATGAAGACATTAACTTCCCCTTAAAAATTGGGCTTCCTCTCAGAGTTGGTCTTGTGATTGGATGCCTTAAAAAGATTTTTCTTCTTCTGCAACGGGAATTTTAGTAGTCTTATGCTTCTGTTTACTCACTCATCACAATGGCAAATCAAGAAGGATGGGGCATTCTTCTACTTCTAACTCCAAATACTGCTTTTTTGTCCCTATACTTGTTTCCTGAAAAGAATTTTAGAGGAGCTAAAAAAACAAAAACAAAACAGGCGCGGAGTAAGTAAACTCCCTAAAGATGGTTTAAATATTTTTTCTCATTTGCATAGCAGGATTTAATTTCCATCCCTTAAATATGACGAATTGCTGAGATTTTCTCCAGTTAATGCTTTTAACAGCTCCCAATAAACTTCATTAATCAGGCAAGCTTGAGGCCCAATGTGTAGCCGGGAAGCAGCTAATTTGCTTGATGAGACCCCGACTTTAGCGAATAAACAGGTGGATAATCTGAAGGCTTTATGGCCTTAATTACAGTCTAATCAGTTCAGCGGTGGCGGGCAGAAGAAAAAGGAGAAAGGGGGAAAAAGAGCGGGAGCGGGTGCTTCCAGGCCACTCTTGCTAAAATAGAACTGCACACCCCTCTGAAGGCCCCGCAATGATTCCCGCGACTCTCGCTCTCGGCTTCCTCGGGGCCGGCTCCCACGCGCGTGTGCGGCACCGACGCGGCGCCCGGGCCAGTCTCCGGTTCCCGCACCCCTGTCGCGGGCGCCGGGGGTCGCCGTGCGGGCCCCCAATCCTTCTCCGCGCTCCTCCCCCGTCCCCGCCCTCCGCGGGCGCCTCCGCCCCACGCCGCGCCTCCTCCCTGTCACCCGCCGGCCGCCTGACAAATCACTTCAAGGGCAGCCGAACTTTGAAGGACAAAACAAAGCTCGGCATATGGTCCGGTCCCCAGATGTTTGTCTTTTCCTCCACGCCCCCCACCCCCGCCGCCACCCCTTCCCGGGGCTCGCCTGGAGCCCGGCCCCGCCAGCCCCGCGCCCCCCACCGCCAGCCGAGCGCGCGGGGCCGGGGCCAGGGGCCGCTCTGCGCCTTTTGTTCCCCCGGCCCCCGCTTTTCTGCTGATCAGTGGAAGGGGAGGCTTTCCCCATCCCGGTGGTTCATAGGGAGCTCCGCAATTAAAGGCAGTGTCGCGGTCGGTGCCACGACGTGGGGCTGCGGAGAGGGCCCCGCGCGGCTGTCGGGTTGGCGTGAGGACGCCTGGTCCCCCAGGGGCAGGCGCTCCGGGCCCCCCGACACAGCAGGGACCTGCCCGGGCGGCCGCTGCGTCCACCCCGGAGCTCCCGGGCACCTCCAGGCCGCCGGCCGCGGCGCTGAGCGTCGTCTCTGGGGTCCTGGGGGAGACACGCCCCGTTGGCACCGGAGTGCGGGGGCCGCGTCCTGGGCGCTCGGTGCGCGCCGCGGGGCCGGGCCGGGGTCGGCGCAGCTTCCCCCTCCCGGGAGAGTCTCGGGGGCTCCTGCCGCCTCGGCGAGCAGCCTCAGCACCCCCCGCCCCCCGCATTTCCAACCAAACTTCCCCCCAACCGCACTGGCGACCGACCCAGAAGACTCCGAGTTCCGGGATCGCGCCCCTCCGGTCCCCCCGGCTCCCGGACGAAGGAATTGCCAACCGCCCCTTGTGAACGGGATCTCGGCCACCAGTCGGGACCGGGGGCCGCGCTCGAGTCGCAGCACCCCGAACCCAGAGGCCCCTAACCCACTTTTGGGCCACAGGGTTCGGTCGGCGAGGGCTCGAGCCGCGGAGCAGACACAATGAAACCCGCGCGCGGACACGCTGGCAGGTGCCCCGGGAGCGCCGACTGTCCCCGAGACGGGCCCGCGCACCGCAGCGCCGCGCGCACTCGCCCCCCGCAACCGTCTGGGCCTTCTTTCCCGGGAGGTGCCGGCTCCCGGGCTGGAGGGGGAACGAATGAAAGGTCACCTCTGGAAAACTTGACTCGGGTCCCCGGACTGTTTTAGGAAGCGGGGCCCGAGGCGGCGTCCCGTAGTGTAGCGAATAGTGGTTCAGACAAAAACGTCAAGGACAAACCCGGTAACTGAACTGACTTGTCCAATGGCCCTTAGGATGATCTTCGTCCTCCCACCGCCTCTCTGAAAGGGTGTAGCGAGTTTTGCAGCATCTTGGGAGCTTTTCACTTCGGACTAGCACCTTGCCTTTGAGGATTCTTCAACTGGCCATGTTAATAATTAAGCAAAGTATTTCTGTAGTCATTCAAGGTATCAGTGTGAACAAAGCACACGTTCTTGATATTTTATTCCCGACTCATAAAAAACACATCTGGTCCGACGGAGAAGTCTAGCTCAAACTACTGAATCCTGTTAATTAGCATTTAAAAATATTTTTCCACCTCTTTTTTGTTTTCAATAAATACCTGAATTAGCAGACTATTTAATCTATGCATCGTCATGGACATTTCCTTTGAAAAATCAACATGACACTCAAAACTATTTAAGAATTAGATGCTGACATGAAACCAGAAATCTAAAAAACAAAAAAAAAAAGAACAGAAAGAACTGAAAATATGAAAGCCTAATATTTCACAACTCTTTACATTACGGTACACCGTTCTTTTGGACAAAAAAGGGGGGAAGATGGAACGACTAGTTTTTTTCTTTTGTGATCATAAAGGAGCAAATGCTTGTTTTGAGACTAGGTAAGTGAAACATCTAAGCGAAGGAAGGCCGTGGTCAGCATCGACTTAACCTAAACTAAATTAGAGCCGGAAAAATATTGCACCCGCGCCCGGACAGCAACGGATGGGGATCTGGCTGCTTAATTTCTCCTTTGTGTTATGTCCTGATCATCAAAATACATTATTACTTCTTTTTCAAAATACAGTGGGGATCCCTCCTTCCCCGCCCCCAAGTTGGGAAAATTCTCCAGGCAGCCCAGGAGAAATACAAATGCACAAAGCGACAGGCGAAGCAGCCCTGTGTTCAGCACTCAATCATTTCCTGTCACAGGGGCGACCACTATGCATTATCCTGCCATGATTGATAGAGTGGGTTTGTGCATACTAGGGGAGCTGGGAGGCTCAGATGGGGTCCTGTCATTTGGGCTCCATTTCATACTACCTGTAGGGAAAAGACAATTCTTTGCAGGGATTGGCTGTCTCTTGAGTTTTAAAATTTAGTTCTTTGTATATAATAGAAAGGTCACATTTTCTAAAAGTTAAGCAGAGCTTTAAGCTGTTTTTTTTTTTGCATCATTTGATATGAAGGAATAAAACAAATTCCCTCATGGTAACACAAATTTATGTCATTTCAAGTTGATATGTTCCAGAAGTATAGCCACAATCTCATCCTACCATCACCTTCAAGAGCTAAAGTTATGTTCCTCTAATCTTAATCTTTAAACAGAAAACAAAACAAAACAAAAAAGAGAACAAAACAAAGCATACTTAGTTTATGCCCACTGAGAACTTAAGCATACAAAACAAACTGCTATTAAAATTGATGTCTAAATAATAAAGTTTAAAATGTGCTTACAGCATTGTAAATCCCTTTACCAAATAATGGATTGTTAGTGTATGTCATCCAATAATACACTAAGTGTAGGCCATAACAGATGATAAAGCAGACATTTTCATCATTAGAGATAGTGGCTGTACTTCATTTTCACTGGGGAACAGAGTTTTGAGTTTGCTTTTGCTGTGATCAGTCAAGATCTTAACTAATTAATGTAAGATCAAAGTTGACATCTATCTCACTAGCGTTATATAAAACTGTAAAATCCTCTAGGTCCTCCATTTCCTTTTGAAATGGCTAAAGGCAAAATGATTTGCATAAAGAGGTCTCAGATTTTAAAATGTAAAACTTCTTTCATTGGGATTATTAAGCAGTTTTCAATGCTGTCCACAGATGTTCATGTGCTCACTGCTCTGCTTTAATATTTTCCTTGTGGTTTCCATGTAGAGCTTGATCGATGTGTTAAACTGCTTGAATAAGAGCGGGGACTTGCATAGTTTTTATAAGATTTTTTTTGGTGATACCAGATTATACTTTTATATTAATATATTTGCACTTACAGTCGTTGCAAAAATAGCAAATTTCTACTAAAATTTTCTCATTAAATTGTTCCCAAATATAACTTACATGTGTGAAATTTTGTTAATATGGCACATATTTTTTTAAAAGTGGAGGGTAAACATTTTGTTAATAAATACTTTTCTAGGAAATAGGCTTGTATCTATAAAGGATTTCTGTTTCTGTTTTCTCCACTACAACAAGAATCTGACATAGTAAAAGTTTCAAAAATCCAAGGGTTCAAATAATCAGACTTTTGGAATGAATATATGTTTCTATACAAAAACAGATTGATAAGAAGTCATTTGTATTTCCATTTTCTCTTCTTGTATGAATTGGAAGCAAACATCTTAGACATTTTCTGGTAAGTTTTAATGACTGGAAATCTAATGGGAATTATTTAAATGAGAATAATGCTGGGCTTATACATAGTGCTAGGTGTGATTCTATCTTTAATAAATACAAACCATGTCAACTACTAGTTTTTTTAAGGTGTATAAGTTTTATTTGGAACAATAGTCAAAATAGCAACAACAACATCCAGAACTTTAAGTATTAGCTGAAGGGTCTTTAAATATTGTTGCTATTAGGACAGTCTGTCTTTAAAATGCTAAACTCTAAAGAAGTTTAAAGTACATGCCACTTTATTGTGATTAGCTTCAAGCTCTACTAGATTTCAGCAAATTTTGTCTTTTTTAATGTTAACCCTCCCACCAAAACTGCAGGGAATAAGATGCAGGATGTTTCTTTCACATGCATTTAAATTACAGATGAAAACTGTCCTCTTCCTAATAATACAGCTTCACTGTATTAAGGTTCTTATTAAAAAAAAGAAATAACTTATGCATACAGAGAGGAGTCTGCCATTTTCTTGAATACCAGTGAGTCTCTGATATTCTCTGTGCTAAAGTACCTTGATGATTTAAAAATAAAATGGATATAGATGGAAGAAAGATTGTGTTTAAATGAATCTGTAACTCAGGGAGAGGGTGTGAGCGACCCTACTGGTAGCTGCCATGATAGTGTGAAAACAGTAAGCTGAATTTCTTATTTAAAGTATTGATATAGAACCCGGATGAACTGAGAAAGTAAAATAAGCTCTCTCCAAGGGCCAGCTAACCTTTCCTTCATAAAGATAACATGATACACTCAAAAATAGACCTGAAGTTGTCACTGAGACCTCTTGGTGGGTGAGCTAAGAGCCAGCATGAGGAAAACATTTTCATAGTGTTTGCTATGGTCTGTATTTCAAACCATAATGCTAAAATAAGAATAGACAGAGCAAAAGAAAGAGTAAGAGAGCCATAGAGGCAGTCTGGGTGGGGGTGGTTAGTGTGGGAGGGTGCAGTGAGAGGGAAACTAGGGACACTGGTGGTGGGAAATTACATTGGTGGAGAGATGGGGGTTGGAACATTGTATGACTGAAACCCAAACATGAACAGCTTTGTAATGCTCTATCTCATGGTGATTCAATACAATAAAAATTTAATATTAAAAAAATAGTGTTTGCTATGAGACTTCAGAAAGAAGAGAGGTAGAGAGGATTCACCCCTACATATCAGCATCTATTCTGTGTTTTCCATGCACAGACAAATACACACACACACACACACACACACACTCAAAGAATAATATTATAGTGTCATGAAGATGGGAGGAAAGAGTTTTTTTTAAATATTAAAAACCAGAGCTTAAAATATTTCAAGTTAACTGAAATAGTGTCATTCCATTTTCTATATATCAAATTTTGCTTCTTGAGGGCTGAAGACTCTAGTTATCATCTTTTGTCTACACTGAAAAATATTTCTTGAGGAGTGTTGTGTGAATAAGCAAAGGAAGACGCACTACCACTGGTCTTTCCATTGAAAGCCATGATTTTCACTGTCCTTTTTCCTTCAGCCTGGCCCCACCACTTGCTATGACTATATTCTTTTAATGTATATAACAGATTTTTTTTACTCCTTCTGGCTTATAGGAGTATCCTTTTATTTCCTTTAATATGTTGTACACAGACCTCTTCAATGCAACCTTTTGCAGATTATCGATAGTGATTTATTACCATTACAATAAATATAATATTTATTAATATTAATGCTCAAATGCTATTTGATAGCTATTTCTTAAATGATGGCAAGAGAATTATCAATGCAGAGAGAACAAAAAAGTCTAGTCTCTTACCTATCTGAGAAAAAGGCAACATGTAAGTAAATCAGTATCCAGACAGCCATTCAACTCAGTGGATAGACTCATTAGTCTATTAGTCACATTACTATTTGTTTTGGCTAAAGAGTAACCTAGAGAATTTTTAAATGTGCACTTGAATTGTGTGGAGTAAAAAAATAAAACCGAAGGCGGAAATACGCTTTTTTTTAGATCTGAAACTTAGCTTGCCTCAAAGATGTAGTTTGGCAGAAAGATGTTAAAAGGATCTTTCTGCAAGTTTTCAGAGTGCAGTTTCAGAGTGCAGTTCAGAAAGGCACTGTGTCACAACTCCATCACTTGACCCTTGCCTAGCCAATCAGATTCCTTGAGAGGCCCCAGGCGTCTGTATTTTAACAACCTCACAGGTGATTCTTGGCACAAAACGTTTGAGGGCCATGTATTTTCTCCAAATAGTATATCTTTTAATTGTTTCCATCATAAATTACATCTCAGAGAAGAAATCTGGTAAACTGGTGTTTGTGTTCATTTGATTTGGGTTTGGGAACCCCTTGATGGTGCCAGGGGATA